AAATAAAATTAATATTATCAGATGGCAGCTCTTTTCACTGCAGAGGAAGTGCTCCAGTTGCTTACGACAGATAATGATGATGTACTAGAACATTTTGATTTTGAAAGTAATGATGAGCTTGAATTCAACAACTATGATGAGTAAGGAAAAAAATATAGTTGCATAAAGTGAAGAATACCTGATGCAGGGCAAGTAATGGTGAGAATGATGAGAATGCAGGAGTAGTACCAGTAACTCAAGCACTACCTATGACACCAGAACAGGGACCAATAAATCCAATACCAGTGCCCGTAATGGACCAGCCAGTATCTACAAAGTAAGGAATACTTTTGAATTATATACATAATGCAAATACTAATAATTATAATGATACTAATTATACATAAAAAAATATAACAATAAAGAAGTAACAAAACAATGAAACATCATTTTACAAAAATAACATAATCATGCAATATTATAATAAATGAAGGATACCAAATCTATGCTATACCGTATAGGGGGTAATTTGGACAGGATTAAATTTGGCAAATTTGGTGTTTTGATACACATTCGCCAACATAAAACCCCGCCATTTTGAGCCATTATACACGTGCTCAATGGGATGTGGCCACAAATTTGCCAAATTAATATTTTTAATCACCAAAATGTAGCAATTTGCCAAATTTCAGCCTCTTCAAATTACCTGCTATATGGTAGCTCTTACAACAATAATTATGCAACAATTTTTTTTTGAAAAAATCATTGCTTATAGTATCAGTGGACAGATGAGCTTGAACCTGTGTATGTCCAGGAATTTGACCAACCAACAAGAATAGCTGTTCCTATACCAAACACTGTCAGGGAGGCATTTGAACTAATATTTGACCACACACTAGTTCAGCACCTAGTGACAGAGACAAATTGATACGCCGGATCAGTAATGGGAGATTAGAAGTATGACAAGTGGCAGAAAGTAGGGGTGAATGACATTTACGCCTACTTTGGGGTCATAATTACGATGGGTCTTGTGGACCAGCCATCAATTCATGACTACTGGAGCAGGGATTCTCTTTTCAACTGTCCAGCAATTGCTGAAAGAATGACTAGGGACAGATTCCTTGAGATACATAGATATCTTCATTTTGTTGACAATGAGAGAGTGAGCCAACCAAACATTCCAGGGTACGACCGCCTTTGTAAGGTACAACTTGTCCTAGAAATGATAGAGAATTAGGGAATGTGCAATAGATGAGGCAATGGTACCTTACAAGGGCAGGTCATCCCTAAAACAATATACATGTATATGGTTATCGATCTACATGTATGTTACATCACTAGTACAAATTAAATGTTAAAAGGTATGTACATTAATGACTGGCTAAAAACTATTCATTTTACTAGATCTAAAGCTATGAATTTTTGCAAGAATTAGATCATGAGGGTGTCAATACTAGGAGGTCTAAATGTTTGAAGAGACGCTTGTACTATAATAAGGTAATGTAGTTATTTTATTAAATTCACATTTGTGACTGTGTAATTGTAAATTAATAGGGGCCAAACTTTGTTTGGCACATAGATGGATAAGATAATTGACCCCTTATGAATTAGCTATACCCATTTGTATTGATGGGGGTAAGTAATTAAATGTATAATACTTTTGTTATTTGGATTCTTTCATCATTTTTTCAAGGAAAATTTTGTGGTTAAAAGTTACACCTACTAACCATGACCCCAAAGTGGTGTGAAGATTTTATTTAGAATCAGTTAAAGAGATTGGCGGTATGAAGTAGAAATTATTTTAAATTGACTTCCAGTGAGGTAGTCTGAAGTATTTAAGGTCACACTACGGTACAAAGATCTGTGTAATAGCATCAATACACATTGCTTTTCATTTGGCTGACAGTACTGGACTAAGCCAAAGTACACATATATATGGATCGTTGAGGAGGAACATGGTTGGCATTCATAGTCGTGTTATTCAATTGTAATGGTGTAATAGAGAATAGAAAGCTGGTGGTTACAACTATGACGACTTAAAACTTCATGGTGGATGAATTTGTTATAAGTACTTAACATCTTAGTCTTACTATATTTTATTATTAGCTGCTAATGGTCTTAAAGATTGTAACTGTTTTGATAGCTCTCAAAGGCATGAGTTAGTTTCTGATGAAGTATATCATTTTGATAAATTTTTACTTAAGTATGCAGTGTCATACTGTATGGCACATACATGTATACTGGAAAATGAATTGAATGAGTTCACTGACAAATGGAATTCTCATAAGATATGGAAAAATTTGAAAACATTACTACCATCAGGGATTCCAAATGATTTGTATGACCTACCACAAGTAAATGGTTAGTAAAACAGAATAGTGTGATAATTAAGTAATTGTCTTTAGGTGTCCATGATCACTTGCTACCAGTTAATACTGCAGTATGGGTATATGCCATGGATAAAAAGAGTAAAAAGAAACCTCGGTTTATCCTTACAGCTTTGAACATGAAGCTAATAGGATATTGGCAAGGCAATTTAGTATCACAAGGGTGACATCACAGCAGAGAATTGTGAGTGTGTACAAGTGTTTCATTGATAATATATAAAATGGTTCTTTGATTAATGATATAATGATAATTGTGTAAGTGAATTGTCAAGCAAGTTACATTTCTTATTTATTATCACTTTCTGCATGCCATAGTTGCAAAACCTATCTTGTTTTAAACACATTCACATTTTCGTTAGTATAAATATGGCTTGCCGTGGGTCTTTTGCGTGTACCTTTGTAAAAATTTGTAATGTTATCAAGAATATTGCACAATCACTATCACTAACTTCTTCATTAGTTCTATTTTCCTGAATTCAGTTATATTCTCACAGCAGTCTTCAGTATGATTGACCTTAAGTAATTATAGAATGTACACAATAAATTAATCAATAATGGATTTACTAACCAATTCATGATCTTCACGAGATTTACAATTAGGTATAAGACCTGTGTAAACCTCTAATGCTAACAAATAAAAAACCAATAAAAATAGTAACTTACCACAAAAATATATGCATCGCATAAAGGTAAAATTTTTCCAGATAACAGTTTAGGAGGGAAATATCGATTTTTACTGGCTATTAAGGGAGCTGTAATAAGGTTACATCCTGATTCTGATTTTGGGATCACCAGAGAGCAATCTTTGTCAAATAATATATTGCTACTGTGCAGTAAAATTTTATCATCAATACCGTATGAGTAACAATCGATTCAATGTCTTCATGAATAATTGGTTTGTCACCAGCATGTAGATAAGCCACTCCTCTAAACATGTCCTTTAAAATTAAAATACAAATTCCTCATTGTAAGTAAGATCAACCTATATACATGTGCTTAAAAGTGAAGTATAATAACATTTGATATGCACATACTGTTACTGAGTAAATCCAAGAATGTAGCAATAAACAAGTGCTTTTAGCTTTGGGGAGAAGCAGTAGCCCATTATTTCCAAGATAATTGGATGACGAAATCAAATGCCAAATTTTAAATATAAACTTTAATAATCATAAATGTACTTCATCAAAGCTTGCAGTTCATTTTGAATTTGTCTTGCTTCAGAGCTTCCTTTACCTATTGCTTCAATACCTTCCTATAGCATTAATGTATGTTCCATTTCCTTACAATCGGTGTATAAAACTAACCTTAGTCAAAATTTTCATAGCAGACTTGGTACCATAAGTTCTAAGATTGCTTAACACTTCCATATCCACCTCTGCCTATTTCATTAGTTTTATCTAGGTAACTGGTTAGTGGCTCTCATAACTTTCTCCATTGTAAATTGAAGAGAATGAACTATAGAAATGTATCATATAAAATTATAGCACGATTACTGCCATGCCCGTTTCAAGTTGGTGAGGAATAGATAAAATGTCATACTTGGGAGAACTACTCTGCACTAGTAGCCAAAGAGCAATGATGTATTTCTTCTTCAGTTACAATTACATCAGCATTAATGGGTACAATTGAAACATCTAAAATTTAAAATTAATAAAAAATATGTAAAATTTAAGTATACCTTCAGTTGGCTTGTATGAAATATCAAAATGAACTAAACCTTTCATAAACCCATCAACGTAAACTGTGCATTTGAAAAGAAATGGCTCACCATTATAAATGATAAATGTGGAAGGGTACTTCATGAGTGAGTTGTTTATACATTGCCATTTGTATATACAATGAGGATGGAATCTACTACGAGCAACAATAGGAACCACTTACTGTGTTTACACTAGCTTCTTTAACTGAGCCAGCTGTTTCATGTCATAGTGTAAACAGTAACCAAACTGAGCTCAAGAGAGCTGGGCCAAACCAGGCCAGCATGGTTAGTACAGCAGGGCCAGCTCAGTCTGGTTCAGCACAGTTTGGCCCACTTATGTAGTGTAAACGCAGCATAAGTCTAGTTACTCAATACCACATATGAGTGCTATAGATCTAATAAATTGGGTGCTGCTAAAACCCGTAGCCGGAGTCGGAGATTAGTGCTAAAAACCGAAGCTAGAGACGGGAGCCGGAGATGAGTCTTAAAAACTGGAGTTTGGAGCTGGGGATGAGTGCTAAAAACCGGAGATGAAATTCCGGAGACAACTGCATTATTGAGTGGCTATATGCGAGACTATAATAAACTGAAAGCATAGATGCTGCACTATATAATATTATGCTGAGACAGTGTATCCACAAGAATCTCTTGTCGTTAGCTACAAGCCCACAACAGTACTAGAAGTAGCTCAAGCCCTTGCCTCCTAATTAAGTTCTAATTATATGCAGCTACCCGCATAACTGATCAGTGGAGCACTGATACCACCGGCACAATCAAGATGGCCTCGCCATGCAGTGGGGCATTCGAGACAGTGGCTACTGGCTACCTCCACAGTGCCAGGCTCTCCGTAGCATGCATAAAAGGACTTATAAAAATGTAAAAGTTGAAGTTGCTATTGATTCATGTAAATAATAATAAAAATCAAAACTATAATTATGCACTATAGTTATTAATCGAGTCACAGTAATTTTTTTGACTTAAAACAATTAACAGCTTCTGTATAATTAAGCTTGTATTTCTCCATGATGAGTAAAATCAGTGACTGTGATTAAAGAATATAATTGCTGATTCAATATACCGTAGGTCGGGATATATTTGCAGCTGCAATTATTCGCTGTCTTAAAAAAATTTAATACAAAACCATGGTAACTGTTACAGCGTTGCTATGACAATAAGACTATTGTTTAGTGTTCAGCTATTTATCTGTTCTTTAGCAGCTTTACTGGAGCCATTCATCAATAGCGAGTCCTTCTCTATCTGTTAACTTCTTGTACGGACTGCTATCTCAGAGTTCTTTCAGCCTCTTCGCTGCAAATTGTTGCTGGTCCACGTGGTGGTGATAATAAACCACACTCAAGTCAATAAACAATAAGTAGAATGGGCGGAGAGTCCCAAAATGCGGCAAGACATTAGTTCTGTAAAGAACCAGTAAAAGCAGCACCAAAGAGACCAATGCTTAGTAGCACAAGAAGAACAACAGCACAAGAACACTGCAGCAAGGTGCTTACCTTCAATATCATGCTGTTTTCAATTAAAATAACACCTCGGATTCCATTGTTTTTAATTGAATTTTTTATGACAGCGAATATATCCTGACCTATGGTAGATTACTGAAAGTAAAACATACTTCTGGCCACATTTTTGTGTTGGAAAGTATTGTAACTGGTTTTTGCAGTATGTCTCCTTCAATGCCCATAAGATAGTACTGAATTTCAAACACCTATTAATTTTATAATGAAACTAAGTAAGACAAACGAACAAAAAAATACATTACTCACCATGTCATCTAATTGCAGTGGCCTGATATCATTTAAGTCTTTTCTTTTTACTTTTACTTTGCTGTACTCAATTTCAGATCAATAAATCTTTCAATTGTAAGACTAAAAATGTGGAAACATGTACACGTACATGGAAAAGCATATGGAGGCTACATGGATGCACACATATACCTCTCTCTTTTTAAGTGTACTTCTGATGAAGTTTCTGCTAAATGTACAGTTACTATAATATAATTAAAAATCAAAAGTGATGCTTCTGAAATAGATACTTGTCATTCCTAGTACGATCCAAAAATGGGAAGTGACTAATGTAATATTCTAGTCCCAAATCACAATCAATGTCACAGATATCATAGTGGCTCGTTTATAAAATCAGAGACTAGAAGCACTTTTCCTTTCGGATCCTCTATAGCATGATAAAAATTATGACAAAAGATCATGCATATAACTGCTTTAATGCAATAATAATTATTAATTACTTTCAAATAGAGGATTAGATTCGAAGTTGGTCAATATTTCATCAAAGGCTATGAACATTCATAATAATAAACATTTCAAAATGTAGATGAACATTAATTGCCATCAGCCACATTATTCTTTTTACTCTGAAAATCACTATACACTTGTGGGAAGAGTTCATTCAATGCTTCTTCATCCACATCCTGAGCCAATGACAGACTACATACATACATACATTAAATTTAAGTATAAGCTATACAGTCATCTTATAATACATGTACGTGATATTGATAATCCAATCCTTTAATGAACTGATAGATTTTCCAAAAGAACGAGCAATTTTCTGCAAATAAAATTAACATTTGACAATATTAATAAGAATTTATACCTTGCACAATGCTTTAATAGAATCATTACTGGCCTCATTATCCACCTAATGATTGGGATAAAATCACATATAATAATAAATGCCAATAGTTGCTTTATGCATATACATGAAACTGAACTTCATGTACTTTCCAGTGATTATACTGCCTTTTCTTCTTGCCACTTACATTTGGATTTGCTAAAGCAACTACTTTTCTGTATACATACATGTTACAAGTACATGTAGGTTATTCTAAACTTATGAACGGCTCACTTAAATGTACAAACAGCCTGCTGATTGAAGTAACATTTCGTTTAATTATAAACGACAATCTCTTCTGTATTAGCTATAGCTGTCTATGATGAACAATGATAAAAGTATTTATGATGATAAGGCATTCACCGTAAAAAACTCATCAAAATTTGGGCAAATGATCATGTAAATATAGCTGCTTCTGTATAAAAAGTGTATTTGAAACAATGGTAATACACCAAAAAGCTACCTGTATTATAGAACAAGGATTCAACTTATCAAATTGTGCTACACTTTTTGCCTCACTACATGCTAAAATTTCCTTGTATCCTATTATTTCAATTGCTCCATAATATAGCAACAAAAGCATAATTTCAATTACAAATGCATAGCTGTAGCTCCATACCTCATCAAATGTCTCCTTTTGTTCTTGTTCGTAACAAAACAGTGTCAAAAAGTAAAGTGCATACTAAAAACAATGTATATATTAAAAATAACATGATGCCGCATTACTTTTTCTGATAAAGGAACAGGTTTCAGAAGTTCCTCCATGTCCTTACAAAACAAGTTGATTGTGCCCACTGAAAGAATCACCTTGTTTTTGTCTCCTAGTAAATTTAGAATAAAAGTATTTCAAATCACAGAGAGTGTACCTCTTTCACATTGCTTATTGAAATTTTGTCGCTCTGAATTCATAGATGCATTTCAGGCAGTAGGGATAATATCTAACAAATAATAAAAGCTATGGGCAAAGCTCAAATAATAAATACCTTGAGAATGGTGTGGTGTTGATGTTGTCTCAATGACATAGTAAGCAAACCCACCTTTGTGATTTAGATGTTCGTTTTGTAGTGGCTAAAAATACGTGTGCAATCCATCATAATAGTATTTTTTCCCTCTCAAAACTATCACAGCTGTGTAGTGTCCTGGACTATGCATGGAAAACCCACCAAGGATATAGTTCTTATTAAAGACTTTTATAGTCATTGGTAAGGTAAGCAGTGCTTCTCCAATGAGCGAAGCAATAGAAAACGGAAGCAACCACGGAGACTTGGAAACAAAGCGTGCTTCTTTCACAAGTAGCTGACCCGTACAAACATAAACATGTACATCAATACCACTTTCCACATCCATTTTGCTGCTGACTTCAAAACATGATTGTTTTCTTGGCATTGTCTTAAAATCTGCTCCGCAATATCCAGCAAAAAAAAATTGGGCTACAGGAAACTGATTATCTACTTGATCACTGTAAGCAAATTTATCATTAAGATTGAAACCACATGGAAATCTATCAGTGTCACTTTTTGGACAATCTGGTAAGCAACAACGTAAAGCCAGGTGAACTTTCCATACATTAGAAAAAGCAGTTAAACAGTTGGCATACTCAGATCCATAGCAATCGAATAAAGTGCCTTTCCTTGGAAAACCAATGACTGAATTTAGATGGTCCAACATCAATTCCTTTCCGCCAACAGCATCGCCCTTTAATAGCAATGCCATAGATGCTTTTAATGCAAACTCGGATTCACTGCAACCAAAATAATTCAGAAGATTTTTGTCTTGTAGACAAGAAACAAGTATTATTTGGAAGCAATTATCAATGGTACAGGTATTTGTGTATTTTGAATGGCCCCATGGATTAATAGGCAATTTCTTATAAAGAGGGCAAAGGAAATCCTCTGTCCTCTTAGGGACAGAACACTACATGCCTTCAAACAGTGAATGTGAAACCAGTTTCCACATTCAGAACAGCCATGTGCATTATACTCCTTCAATTGAGGCCCATATATCGCATTCGCTGTGCTATGTTCTATCCAAGCAGTTTGGCACAAACAGTATACATTGACACTCTTCCTTGTCGTTCTACAAAATCGCTTGGATGTTTGTTGATACGAAATCAATGATGAGATATTCCTTTCACTTCCATTCTTCAGAACTAAAGCAACCAATTCGTCTCTTAACATACTAATATCAAACACTATTTTAGCCAAGTCAGAGCACGATTGATTATTCAAAGCAAGAAATAGCAACCCTGCCAACAAGATATCTTCATGGTCATCCTTAAACTGCACACCAATGTTTACAGCAGTAAATGCTTTGATATCACAACCACTATTTAGGGCAACACTGATGTGATAATTAATTTCAGAACAATCTGGAATGCTGTATGTAGACACAATCTATCATAATAATAGCTGAATGCAACTATGTAATATATTAGCTTCATACCTCAACTGTACATGTGGGCAATGCAGTGTCCAGTACTTTAGCAAAAATTACTTCATTAGATCTAGAAGTCTCAATTATCAGTATAGCTCCATTACTGAAATGCCCAATCATCAAAAAAATTTAAAGTAAACCAACCAAAATGCATTTAAAGTAACATCTAACATACTGAGTCTAGTGATGCCTTACAAATGTAAGGACATGGCAAACTGCCTGGAAATAACAGACTCGGTCTATCAAGGAAGATCTTCCAAAAAAACAGTCTCGTCATTGTATTTAATGTTGCGGGTGCACATTACAGATGATTTCTTATTCTGATAAATGATAGACTTGAATGAATAAGGGAAGCTGTAAAAATTCTGTCTGTAGGAGGGTGCAGTCTAAAATACATGTAGATAAATAAATGTTTATACAATAACAAACATTCATGTGTTTACTTGGTGAAATATTGTATCTACAGGAGGAACAATATTTGTAACTGGAGTATCCTAACCATCACCTAACTTAATATGACAATAAAAAATATATAGAGATCTTGACAACATACGTGAACATGTATGCTACAAGCATTAGCTTCCGGATGAGCAGAACTACATGTACATGTATCATCTGTTGATGGAATTGTCTAAAAAGTGTCGTGTCATTTTAAGAAGACAAAAAACTTTCATTAAACCTTATCATTAGCCAAATCATCAGGTGTTAGCTTAGGCTGCTTTTCTGAATCAACACAATTTGCAATTTTACAAGCAGTGTTAATTGTCTTGTTTTATAGTCTACATGCATTTACCTTCAAAGTCATTCTTCCTAGGGCATTTCTTTCCAGATTGCTGTTTTTGCTTCGCTCTACATAAACGACAATTGAGCTCAGATGTGTTCATTTTTCCAGACTGTTCAAGTGGTAAACCAACAATCATTCTACAGGCAGTGATTTGGACACATCTTCTGGTTGCAGCACATGAACAAGTCTCTTTTGGGATCAAACGAACAGCTCGAGGTGTTATGTCTTCTGTTTCCATTACAACCCAAGCTTCATCTCCAAATGTTTTGACTCTGATTGTATTGCGTTATTAGCCAAACAAACAGGTGTGTTATTTTCAGCTGATTCACTAGAAGAAATACATGTAGTTGTATTCACAGTATTCACAGGTGTCACTGTGCAAACGTGAACTATCTGACTTGGGTTGCATACTTGGGGTAAAAAAGGCATCATAGATGGCTCTTTTTAATGAAGTCGTATTCATCTTTTACTTGCCATGAACCACATTAATGGATTGATCGAGCAATTTCACGCTGGTAATATGATGTGAACATATGAAGTGAAACACTAATGACATCAAGTGGAACCTCCTTCAACTGTTGCAATCTGTGCATCACAGCATTGAAGGACTCAGAAGCATTATTTGTAATGCCAAGAGAGGGGTTCTTCACACAAGCAGCACGTAACACCCAAACAGCTGCACGTTTCTTTATTGCTGGAATGATGCTATTTGAGAAGTATGAAAAAACTTTTTTTATCTTTAAAACGTTTATCATGTTGTGCATCTTCCCATTGCTTGTCAAATTTGTTTCTGTCTCACATAACATTATTTCTCTAATTTTATTAATGAAGTAGTTCACCTCCTCAGGAGTGCAATTGCAGGAGTTTTTAAAGTACCACTGCACATCTCGAATGATGTGGTTTCAGCAAAAGAAATGCTTGCCGCAGGGAAAAACATTATCAAAATTAAACTCTCTATCTGTGACTAAATTTTTTTTAAGTAATAGAGAAACTGCCTTTGCTATGGCTTGTAAAAAATAGTGATGATCTTCCTGGTAACGCCAGCTGTGAAGTAGAAATGCTCACGGAATGATTGGCTCATATTCAAACAGACCATGTCTGAAGGTTACAGTAGATAAATAGAAATCGCCAATATTGAACACAGTATCATAATGAAAAGTGACTGGTACAGATGAAATTTTTAGAAGAGTCTCAGTGAACCAATTATGGAATGTGGGACCAAATGTAGAATAGTACGAGGTAGAGTCATGAAATAAGTTATGAAGCTTTCTGATGTACACATACCACTTTGACTATTTTGTAATAGTAAAGAATGAAGCTCATTCACATTGTAGAATGCATCGTGCGAAAGCAGGTTTTGCTTACTTATTTTGTTCTTAAAGTTATGAACCTATTATGATGAGGTACATGTAACAGTAATAAATTGATTACATGACACAGTACATGTACAATGTAGCTACATGTACATATACATGATTGAAACATGTACATGTATTAAGAAATCATTTAATTTGTAGGCATTTGCTGCAAGTGAAAACTGGTTTACCATTATTTAACACCAAATCAATTTTTCACTCAAAAAATACCTGCTTCACATCACGAGGTGTAGTAACCGCAAGTCTTGGCCCTCCAACATCAGCCAGAATTATTAAGAAATCATTTAATTTGTAGGCATTTGCTGCAAGTGAAAACTGTTTTACCATTATTTAATACCAAATCAATTTTTCACTCAAAGAATACCTGCTTCACATCACGAGGTGTAGTAACTGCATGTCTAGGCCCTAAAACATTAGCCAGAATTATATCCCTGTGAACATCTTTAGGAGCTTGTAAATGTTTGCTTGTTTCAATCTGTATAATATCAACCAATAAAGGCATTGTAGCTAACAAATGAGTATGGAATACCTTTTCTTTCACAAAGGGTGCAGATCTTATGAAAGGCTTCTTGTTTTTTTCAAAACTCTTAAAAACTGAATGGTCCCCAGTATAATGTAATACTAGACGAATGTAAAACATTCAGGGGCTCAGCCCCCTAGCCACGCTATATTTTAAAGGTTATATGGTGTAGAGCTACATTATTGTACATGTACATGAGTAAGTACAGTAGTTTGTAAGTTTGTAATGAAGTTATCATGCTTGGAAACACAAATTTTGTTTATCAGTTTATCACATTCTGCAGCAAAAAAGTTGTGTTGGAAGCCAGAGACAGTAACTGCAGTCATAGGTTATGTCAGTAGTTGTTGAGGCTGTACAAGCTCACAACGGTGGAATATCTGCCTTCTATTGCTGTATTTGGAAAGTAACAGAGACTTCTCTTGCATTCTTGCTGACTCAAGTGAGTGACTTGTAACTTATAAGGTCAAGAACATAAAGAATAATGAAGAATTGATAGCTGGCACCATTTAATTTCACTGTGACCATGCCCGTTTTCAAAGAAGATTAAGATGAGGTTATTAAAATAGGAAAATTTTTCATACGGATAAATAGGGGTGACGTACGTGTACAAACTGACAGACAAACAAACAAACATACTCTACTCGAACTAGTGGGCTTCGCCCAATAAATAAATCTTCAAAACCCCAGTATTCCCAGCGATGAAAACTCTTATTGCCTTTCTTAGGGTGACAAAATTTCCCATCAACAGCAGTAAATCTTTTTTACTGTTTTCCGGAAATCTTGCAAACTAGACAACACATCACATGGTGATTGGTAAAACTGGTGTTAATATGGCGGCTAATATACCCAATTCTGACCTCATCAAGCAGCTACAGGCTCTGTCCCATTTGCAGCAATTAGTAGCTCTGTCACAGACACAACGAATAAATCAAGTTGTGGTAGGACAGCTGTTCAAG